CCTTCAATTTCTGGTTATTGCACATTTTTCTTGGGCAAACATCATCTCATAGAGCTAGAAAAAATAAAAGCAAATTGTTTCTCACTCCACCACAAAGACAGAATACTACGATTTAACCAATATTATATTAGAACTTATCTGGTTAAAATCAATAAATGACCTAAATATTAGGCTCAGAGATGAATCGAGCGGATCGAAAGGGGGGCGGGTGAGACGGTCGTCCTTTTACACGTTGGAATGCGCCGTTAGCTGGAATTTCTGCATGCCGGGACCCAGTCTCCCCTCATAAGTCCCTAAAGGAACACGTGAGAAAAAGAAACTTTTACACGTTGTTTCACCAAACTGAAAGAACCCTTTTTCGATCTTTTTGGTTTTCGGTTGCAGATATGGCAAGTGCCAACCAAGAAGAGAGTTCATGTGTGCATTAATGGTGAAGATGAGGAAGAAGAAGACGAGAAGATGGAGAAGTTCTTTGCCCTATAAGGAATTTCCATGAAGCCCTTAATAGGAGAAAATATGAGCTCAGACAGAACAATTTGAGGAAGCAATCGACTTGGGTTCCATCTTTTGAATGGGGAGATTGAGTCTCTGAGCCCAACTATTATCTTTCCAACCCTATCTAATAACAAAGATGAAAATGAAAAACAAGAAGCAAAAGATGATGGATTATATCTTAGGCTCACCCTTTAGTTACCTTCGGCTTATATCTTGTTCCGCTCAAGGTTTTATACTACTTAGTAGAAAACTGATTACTTTTTGTGGTTTCATTCATCATACGCAGATAAGGTAGCAGAATTTATATCAGGACACTAACTTAAAATTTTAAAAGTACAAAATTAGATCACTAATAGAAAATATAGAAAAATATTTAAACTATGTAAAAATTTAAAATTTCTAAGGGTTATGATTACATCCAAGATTCCTTCGATCCATCTCTGATCATATGTTTTTTTTTGTTTCAATATCGTTACCATTAGCATTTCCAGTTAATGTAACATTTTCTAATCTTAACTCAGTTTTGTTTATCAATTATCGGTTAATCTAGTGAGACGAAACACTAAATCTTTTATATAATTGCAGCACGTTTTATTCCCTTAGCAGCCGCAGAAAAAGTCAAGGAAGCATAATGATAATGGGGACGAAGGGAATATATGAGGTCAATGATCAAATCAATGCAAATTGCGACTCAGTCATGCAAGTTTTGTGCATAGCTTCAAAGTGAAGCCCCAACCCTTTGTTTAATGTATTCGTCATCCCAGTTACGTCAACATTCTTTCAAAGCTTTACGTTTGCGATGCCACTCACTCATACAGTCCACACGTTTATGGAAACCGCCGTTCCCTAGGTTTTCTTCCCATAAATCCCCCAAGTTCCAAACTTCATATTGCATTTTTGTACACGCTGTTTCGCCCTACCGAAACAACCCCTTTTCGTTCCCGTTGCAGATATGGCAACCAGCAAGAAGAGAGTTCATGAGTGCATTAATGGTGAATATAAGGAAGAAGAAGAAGAGGAGAAGATGGAGCAGTTCTTTGCCCTAATAAGGAATTTCCATTAATCCCCTAATAGAAGAAAAGATGAGCTGAGACAAATCAAGTTAAGGAAGCAGTCAAGTTGGGTTCCAACTTTTGAATCGGCTGATTTCACCGATGGTGCCAAGAAAAAACAACAACAAGAGGAAGATGATGGATTAGATCTTAAGCTCACCCTTTAGTTACCATCGGCTTGTCTCTGGTTCAAATCAATATTACTACTTAATAGAAACTTATTGTCGTTGAATTGATCATCTGTTGTTTTGTTGGTCATGATTACTGACGTTCAATCTCATTGCTGTCAGCGTTTTCCAGGTGAATATGGTATTCCATTTCATTGACAAAGACTATATCTTGATTGATTTACGTTGCTGTTAAGACAAAGGAATGAAAGATTTGGTTTGTTGCTTCAGAATTCAGACAATCAGATGGTAAGGGGAATATGTGTTTTTTAACCTTATTTACACATTAAGATCCGTTAGTTTCGCGTAAAACGTTTTTCGGAAAATATTTTTTTTTTCATTTTTCAGTGTTTGGTTTGAAGAAAATTGATTGATCGTAAAATATTTTTCTGGTCAACAAAACTTCCTTTGTGTTTTCTGGAAAATAACTTACGACCTGATTTTCCGTAAATCATTTTCCGAACTTTTCACTTCAGAAAATAAACACGCAAAATAATTTTATTTTATGAATTTAATATTAATAAAATATTTTAATATAATTTTAATCAAAATATTTAAAATTATATTAATTAATATTTCTAATAATATAATATTATATTTTTAATATTATAATAAAATAATCAATTATATTATAATAATATAAGATATACTATTTTTAAAATATAATATAATATAACACTATTACTTTAATAAATAATTAATATAATTTATAATACTTTTATTTCAATAAAATATACCAATATTAAATATTTTTATTAATAAAATTATAAAAATAATATTTTAATAATAAATAAATTATTTTAATATTTAAAAATAATAATATTAAGTTTTATGATAAATAATATTATTTGTTGTATTTAATATTTGTAATAAATAATTTTTAAAAATTTCATCAACTAATGGAAAAAAAGGTTTAAACAACATCATAAAACATTTTCTAAAAAATATAATTCATTTTACGTAAAATATTTTCCGGAAAATGTTTTTAGTGAACAAACAAACCCTAAGTGATGCATTTTTTAAATGATAATTGACCTTGTTGATTTCAATTATCAAACCATTTAAATTAGTAAAATCGAAGATCGAGGTTTGAATTTAAATTAGTAAACATGTAATGTGGGATGAGGTATTAGATTTTTTTAAATAAGATTAGAAGTTTAAATTTAACTATCGTAAATGAAGTAAATGAGATATGCATTAATCACTCAATAAAATAAATATTAATAATTAATTAAAAATAGTGATTATATAAATCAAATTATTCAATTTATCATTTTTATATTATACAATTAAATTAAAGTTAAAAATTTATTTTTAAAATGATAATAAGCTGTCTCTTTTATTTTGAAAAGAGACTCGTATTCAGGAAAGTTAATAGGGTGAATTTCATGAGAACCTGTCTCATTTATATATGTTTGTTTAATAATTTAAGATAATATATGTTTAGAATTTTTTTAACGATTAATAATATTCAAAATACAACTATTAAAATCTATGACTTTTAGGTAGAATGCTCGATGAGTTCTCTATTTTACTTCTAGTTGGATGGAGATGCGTACATGTTTCATTGGTGTTGGAGTGGGGATAAAGACAAAAATTAGACTTGTTATATGTGATGAGTAGACGTGAGTATAACCTTATATTTATCCTATCCTCATCCGTCACATATTATTGTTTGTATTTGGATATTATATAAGACCTTTATTTTCTCTTTCTTTTATTGAATTAGTGTGTTTAAATTATATTTTAATTTATCAATTAAAGAGTCGTGATAATTTATTATTATTTTTTAATAACGACGATTAAAATAATGCCACATATGTGATAGCAGTGACAGATTTAGAAATTTATAATTGGGGGTTCAAAATTTTAATTTTATTTTCTTAAAAATAATGAGGGTGTAAAAAATTTTATTTATTCCATTTTTCTATAATATATTATACTAATTTTTTATTTTTTTCCTAAATAATAGGGATGCACTTGACCCCTAGGAAGTTTAGTGTATCCGCCCCTGTGTGATAGGTGTCCAAAGGATAAGTACTCATATAAATTGATTTGTAAATATATATTATAAAGTGATTGCGAAATAAGTATAGCGGGAATTAGATGAGTCTCGACTCCCACTTAATTCAAAACACATTTTAAATAGCATAAATGAATTTAAAAACTTTTAGGACTGATTATTTTCATTTAATTATAAAACGTGACATGACTGAGTTGAAAATGTTATAGTGTGGGATTAGATTGATTATATGGATTTACATATAAGACTTGTTTGGTTAGTTAAAAGTAAAGTAAAAAAAATTAATTACAAAAATTCGTAAGGAATTGAACCTCGTGCATGGGGAAGGGGTGAGAATACTATGTATGATTATAACTATAATAACAATTAGATTAAGCTACACTAAATATCGTTGAGTTTTAGATGTTATATCCTTTATACTAGTGAATTATTAATTTTGTTAGTTATAATATCGAATTTTGATTTTATTTTAATTATATCATTAAGTCGTTAAATCGTTAATAATTATATCAAAATATTAAATTATTAAATCGTTTTAGACCTTTTAATCATCGAAATAGTTATACCAAAATAACATTATTTTGGAGTGGTTGTCATGTAATCGTGTCGCTAAATCAAGTATAATTGAAACATAAATAATAAAAAAATAGTTGTCCCTTTTTCCCATATGTATGGGGTAAGGAGAGGTAAGATAATAGGCTACCCCCAACACCAGGTTGAGAGCAGCTTCCGTAAGAGACCTCCGAATTATGAAATGCCCTCCGTGTGACTCAATCCCACAACCTCAAGATTGAAAACCTTGTGCTCTACCAACTGAGCTGGATGGTCATTTAATATTATGTTTGATAAAATTAAAAATTTAATGATATAAATGATATTGTACCTCAAATTCGATAGTGTATGATGTAATTTATCATAATTCTAAAAATCCTTTTTTATTGTTTAAATTCTCTACCCCGCTGGGAAAACCAATCTGCTTTTGCCAAACAGGCTACGATGTACAACGCATGTCAAGCACCGTCATAACGGCGTCATAATGGGAGCAAGCTAAATTATCAGCAAAAACGGCAAAATTCTCCCAAAAATCAAGGAATAAAATGATGACGTTCCGTCAAGCTAAGCTCCTGTTTGGTTCTATAAATACCCCAAACTCCAAATCTGTTTAAGATTAGATCTTCGTTTCAACCACGCGTATTAACCGTTGCGGATTTCTCCCAGGCAAGTTTTCTCAGCCAAACAAGATTTAATTTCTCAATTAATTTTCTCTAATTTTATTTTAATTTTTTCTCTCTCTCGATCAGCTTTTTTATTTGAATTTTTTACTTCAATTTTGAATCGAAAGTGTGTTCAAATCATTTGAATCTTCAAATCCGTTGCGTAGTTTCGTCTGATCTGAGTATTGGAAGCGTCGTGAGTTCATTAAATTTCTTCGATCTGCATTTTTTTCGAATTGATTTCATGTCGCAGTAGATCGGATTTAAACTTGTAATGTGTTGATTTCGTCCAATTCAGGCCTGTTTGATTTGCAATTGTTTTTCAAATCGATCTTATGTTGGTCCTCAATTTTGGCCTTCGGATCTGCTCTGATCTTGAATCCAACTGATCTTTGGAAATTGATATGTGGATTTTGGTGTTTTTGTGGCAGACGTTAAAAATATGGGGCTGTCTTTCACAAAGCTATTCAGCCGGCTTTTTGCCAAAAAGGAAATGCGTATACTGATGGTTGGTCTTGATGCTGCTGGTAAAACCACCATTCTTTACAAGCTGAAGTTGGGAGAAATTGTCACTACCATTCCCACCATCGGTAGGTCGTTTTCCGGCCTTCTAAATTTTATTTTGTTTATTTTTAATCTAGCTAATGTTGATTCGGAGAAGGATACGGCTAACTATTATATATTATAATTGTGTAGGTTTCAACGTTGAGACCGTTGAATACAAGAACATTAGCTTCACTGTTTGGGATGTTGGTGGCCAGGACAAGGTAACAAGGTTTTGTTTATTCAAACATGTAGATATTAACTTCTAAGTTTGCATCAATGAAAGGGATTTAGCGTGTCTTTGGATATGTTTTGTTTATGATAGGGAATGAGTATGCGTGATATTGTGATTGTCACGAATATTCCATAACCAATAAAGTATCTCGATAAAATGCGAGTGCAGTTCTGTGAAAGAAGAGAATATGTGCTCGATGTCTATTGGTATATGAAATACGGATAATTAGTGGTCATAATTGAACCTTATGTTTTTAGTGAAACTTGAATCTTGTTAGATCTGTTAGAAGAGTGAATTTTTTGTGTATTTTTTGTTTGTCTTCATTGATCTATTTGTTTTAATTTTCTACATAGATCCGACCATTGTGGAGACATTATTTCCAAAACACACAAGGACTCATCTTTGTGGTGGATAGCAATGATCGTGATCGTGTGGTTGAAGCTAGAGATGAGTTGCACAGGATGTTGAATGAGGTACATGAGCTTAAAGTTCTTGTTTCTGGTGTTATGATTCCAATGATCGCAAATCTAACTTATTATTTGGCAGGATGAGTTGAGGGACGCTGTGCTGTTAGTATTTGCTAACAAGCAAGATCTTCCAAATGCTATGAATGCTGCTGAGATCACTGACAAGCTTGGACTTCATTCTCTCCGCCAGCGCCACTGGTGAGATGAACAATTCTCTCCACTTTCTCTCTCTCTGTGCGTACGGGTTTGTTTTGTTCGTCTATCTGACCCATTCTTTTGTGGATCTTTACAGGTATATCCAGAGCACTTGCGCCACATCCGGTGAAGGACTGTACGAAGGACTGGACTGGCTCTCAAACAACATTGCAAACAAGGTAAACTCATGCAGATGACTCTGATTGTAGCCTTTTGGCTGCTCGTCATAATTTCTATTCACTCGTGCTGATATTCATATGCGAATTGCAGGCATAGATGACTTGTCTATCTCACTAATGCCCACCCCTTTCGGAATTATCGATGTTTCTACCTCCGTTAAAATGTTCTGTTTTTTTTTCTTTTTGTGTTCCTTGTTTCTCGCAAACGTCTTCATTTGTTACATCGTAGTTTAAGAATAATTGATATATATATATATATTGGTTTTTCTTGTGTTTATTATCTTGATAGTTGGAAGAAAGTATATTTGTTCCTTTTGGATTGCATTTGTTTTAAAGTTGAGAAAAACTTCATTCAAACCATGTTTTTAATGTGTTTATGCCGAAGCCACCTTCATTTATGCATAATTTATAGTATTAATGAGAAAAATTAGATTACTATCAAGAAGAAAGATGCAATTTCCTTGAGAAAAAATGTATCACTGGCTGAAGGCTTGAAATGGTGAAGACGGCAATCCCCCAAAGCGTAAGCAGTGGGCAGCTTTCTTGTAGTCACCTCTAGTAAACGGCTTGAATAGGGTCGGTGGTTAAAAGGTATGTTTTTTTATTATAGTCACCTCTACCTGTTTAAAGATAATTTTTAATCATTTGACATTGAAAACTCACATCCCTAATATTCATGTGGTTAAAAAGGCATGTTTTGAATAGGCACTCTTCTTTATGATTGAAAGACTGAAAAATAAATATTATATAATTTTGTTGTAAAATTACAAAGAAATCTATTATTAAAAGGGTATTGGGATCAATTTATTTTGTAATAAAGAAATGGTAGTTTTGGTGGCTAAAGCATTTCAAGTGGGGTGTTTAAATTAAACTGTAATGATTATATTTTACAGGTTAATTAATCGAGTTATTAAGGTTAAACGATTTCCGGTTAATTAAACTGTTAAAAGTGTCCGTTAATGATTACGATAACGGTTATAAATTTTGATAAATAGTTAACCATCAGTTAACTATTAATAAAATATAATTAATTAATTAATTATATTTAAAATAATAGAATTAAAAATAAAATCAAAACGATTCCCCTCTATTTTTTATTTATCATGTTTATCTTATAAGTACATTAAGTCGAATATATATGGAATAAATACATGATTCTAAACTACAGAATATAAATATGCACTTAAGGTTTTAAGCTGCAAAAAAACGAATATACCTTCTATTATATATATTTCTATAAAAATAAAATGCATCTATAAATAAATAATATTTCTACAAATATATATATATTATGAAACTTTCACGTAGTGTTGTGCTTGAAAAAAAAATTATAATAGATTACTCTTTGATTAACCTTTAACAGAATTCATTCACAAACGTTAAGATTCAAACTCCTAATCTTACTTACTAGATTTAATACCGCATCCTACTAGAATAACTAGTTGTTTGTGAAATAACACTTTTTTACAAATAAGGTAAACCGTATCTTTAAATGGCATGTTTAACTGAGAAAATCTTTATCCTACATGACAATTCAATCAACAAATCACAATGAAAAGCGTATTTGGTTAGTTACACCTTCCTAAAATCTTAAAAAGCAAAATTATAAGGACCAAAATTGTAATTTGGTTTCATAATTTTAAAAGGCTCATGATGTTAGCTTATATAGATATTATTAAAGTGTTCGGTTTTATTTCTTATAAATGTGAGATTCAAGAGTTAAAAAGTGTTCTTCTAATTTTTAATATGATCTTTATTTTTTTTTTATTTACATTATATCATGTTAATTTACGTTATATTCTATGATTAAATCTTAAAATTTATTATTAAAGTATAGAGTATATTTATATTAATTAAAATTAAATATTTCGATATATTGTAGTATTTAAACGAAGACGGTAGAGATCAATAGTGTCATCGTAACTAGTTGACGATGAAAATAATAGTAAAAAGGATTCAATTAGAGTTTTGATTATAATATAGGTACTAAAATGGACACTAAACTTTTTAATAATGTGCCACAACTTCACTATAACAGGAATTAACGACATGTTATTAATTGATAGCATAAGTGACCAAATCATAACAATGTAAAATGAAGCAGACGAAATCAGAAGAAAATGAAACACAAGTGACACTATTTGTAGTTTATACATCAATTTATCCTTTTTCCTTCCTTCGTCGTTAATCATGAAAAGTTCAAAAGAATCAAAACTGAGCTGGGTAAGTTTCAAATTACAAGAAATTAGAAATAATCACGCCAAAAGAAACTAAAGGTTGTTTGTTTGTTTCTTAATAGAATTATTTAACGTTAAATTCTGAATCGTTCAACCGTTTATTCGTACCTCTGAATGATTCAGTACTTATTGATTTAGTAAAACAGTGTTGACTAATTCAATTAAACAATACTAAATGATTCAGTACATAAATACATTTTATACTGTCACATTTAGAATTAATTCATACATAACTTCTAAATTATTCATTTGAATCATTCAACATTAATCATTACGAAACAACAGCCCTAAGAAAGTACCATGTATTTGCTCTCTCTCTCTCGATCGATGTTAACCGATTTGAAATTTTGATGCTTCATGATTGTTTTCCCAACCTTTCTTTCTCGAGAAAATTATCTCTTATTCTTTCAACTGGATGAAAAACCGAAGTCAGAAATCATCTTCTTCCGTTTCGGTTTGGTTCTTTTCGTGTCATTTGAACTTAGGATGTTCAACTTTAGCTTTGAAAAATTCTTGTAGTTTTGGTCATTATATGTGTTGTTCCAAATCTGGTGAATAAAGCCATAACTTTAGTATTTGATTTTCCCCTACATTTTTTAACTTACAAATCTCATCCTATGGTAATCAATTTATTGACTCTAGTATTTGACATGAGTTCTGTTTACTTGCTCAGGTTTGATTGTTGGCACTGAAGTTTGGAGTTCATGGCGAGAATCAAACCACAAGCTCTGCTACAACAAAGCAAAAAAAAGAAGGGGCCAGCTCGAATTAGTATTTCAACAATTATACTCTTTAGTTTAATTATTGTTTTGGCTGTGTTTTTTCTCTATTCAACATACAGACACTGGTCTCAAAGGTTTGCTACAATTTAGGTATTCGCTATTAGAGATTAAGTTAAATTAATTTCAGGAATGGGGTTCCGTGCTGCAATGTTTGTAAACTATATAGCAGGGATTTAAATAGTGGTCTGGAATAGCGGCCGTTATACAGCGGTAACAGTAGGTCTGAAACCGTTGTTGCATGATCGCGATACCCGCAATAACATCAGATATGTCCACAATCGCGATAAATGCAACCGAAAACGTGGCTACAACCACAATTTAAATCCCTGCTATATAGTGTTAATTCCATGGCAGTTTCATGGATTAAGGAATGGGATTTGGTTCTAATTTCAGAGCAGGAAATTTAGAGATGAAACTGCTTGTGGAGAATGAATTTTGGTTAATTTTTCTTGATTGGTGAAATTTGACTGAGTTTTCTTGTCTTTAGGTCGAGAATTCTAATCGAGGACAGGCAATCAGTTTTTAAGGTAACACTCTTTAAGAATCTGGTTTATATATTCTCTAATGGGTTTCTTAATAATCTTTGGTTTCTAAACAGTAATAGAAACTCTTAACTCGTTGCCAGGTAAGAATGTATCATCATTTAAAGACGTTTTAGGGAAATGTTTTCGCCTTTCTTGTTTGCACATGTATCCATAGTATGTGATGTTTTGCATATAGAGGAAGTTCTCTTTTTGTTTCTCAACTTCATATCTTCTATATTGACTGTGGCTGCTTGTGGTCTTATAGGCTGATAGCTCTTTCTTGGATTTGAAGAAATCCGATCTCCCTGGATATGCTGTAGGTTTCTTTACTTGCCAAGCTCTCCACTGATTAATACTTTCTGTTCGATTGAATAATGTCTACTCTTTGTTGTACTAGCCTGGGATGTGCTGTGCTTAGTTTTGAGAAACAATATTGTAGAACTTTGCTAATGTGCCGTATATGATCTACCTATTCAACTAGCTTTCTTCAAGTAATTCTTTCTTTAACTGAATAGCTTTCTTCAAGTAATTCTTTTTTTAACTTGCAGACACCTGCTTCGAACAAAAAGATAAAAATTGTTAATGCTCTTGATCGCAGCACCTATTAAGAGAACATAATTTCATAGCATGTCTCTTAGGAAAAGGAGAAACCGATTCTTGTTTAGGCCTTATAGTTTATCAACTTTATCTTACGATCTTAACATGTTAGCTTTTCTTAATAAATCGAGTTTGACCAACATGTTCAGTGATTACTCGATCTAAGCTTTTAGGATTGTACATTTAATTCCCAATTAAAATGAGTTTTATCCTTTGACTCATCTTTTTTCCCCTTCTCATTACTAGGTTTTAGAAACTGCAAAGGGTTCTATAACTGTGGAACTTTTCAAGGATAGTTCTCCTGAAGTTGTAGATCAATTCCTTGATTTATGGTAAGTGTTGGACACGACATTCATTTTACTTAAAATGATAGATTTTCTTCATATAGAACTATCGAAAAATTCGACGATGTGAATAATTTAACTGAAATAAGGATATAGATAGAGATTACCAGATCCTACTGTGGGAGAGTCAAGAATACATTGAAATAAGGATATAGATAGAGATTACCAGATCCTACTGTGGGAGAGTCAAGAATACATTGAATCATTTTCTGAAAATCACATTTCATTTTTCCAGAACTGCTGTCTGTTTAGGCTTCATGATTTTGGTTTTGCTGGTTGAGCATCCTGTGTCGTACTTATTAAGGCGACATGCAAACACAGTAATGTCATTTTAATTCTAAAGCCGCATGCTGAGTGTTTGGTTTAAGCCACGAATTCATTTAAGTGAATTGTTTTATCCAGCATCTTTGGGCATAAAATGGTTTCTCCATTTGTTTGTACTTTTGAGTAGTTGGTGTCCTCTGTAATGGTTGTGTGAAATGCATGGTTTGTTGAATCAGAGTGTAGTGCTGGATTTTCTTTATTTCTTTCCTTTGATTTCAGTCTCCCTTTGATGAGCTGAGAGGTTTCAGTCTCTCTCTGATGAGCTGAATCATTAATCCGAAATACGAGATTGCAAGCTCATAACCCATAGTGTGCAACCAAATGCTTTTAACCTGTGCAAAGGAATTCGAAAGTCATCCTCTCATATCACGAGTTTATTTGATCTGCAGTCAGAGAGGGCACTTCAATGGAATGCTTTTTCGCCATGTTATAAAGCACTATGTCATTCAAGCTGGAGATAGCGATAAGCTCGGAGTTGCAGAGGACTGGACTTTGAAAGGAAAACATTATAACCAACTCGATACGAGGTTCGTACATTGGTGATTAAATTAGTTTTCC